TGCTGAGAACTGGTGCCACAGCAGTGAGGTGGTAGGTTCATTTCTGTTTTCAGGCTGTTGTGAGTCTAGGGACTCCAGTAATATTTACACATTTCAGCTTGGCAGAGATAGTGAGATTTTACTCACTTTGCAATGACTGACGGCTGACTGAGTGGCAGCTTTCTCTGGACTATACGCGGGACTAGAAACAGGAATGAGAGTATTGGCCATAGTGATAAATAGATGAGAGTATCGGCCAAACTCATAAACCAGCCAGAGTCAGGTATTGTGGAAGAAAATTCACAAAATTTATCAAGAGACAAAGAGAGGAAGGTTTTTCCTTACTCCTGTCAGTTGGTGGCTAATGTCTGCCTAGAAGCAATTGGGTTTATCCTTTAACTTCTGTTGCGCTTGGTGCAATTGTGTATTCAAATGCTTTTCAGACATTTAATGTCTGTCTAACATCCTAATCTTAATCCATCTAAGATTTTGGCTTTAGTAAGCTCTCATGGCAAAATTAATTATTCAGAGAAGAAAAGAATTTCCTTTTATTGTGAGCAGGGCTGGAGAGAAAATGGTAGGAAGTCAAAGCTAGAGAACTTCCGAATGGATATAAGAAGCACATTTTTAATAGTGAAGGTAATTAACCATTGGAACAATTCACTGTTGGGTTTGGTGGAGTCCTTATTGCTTCAAATCTTTAAATCAACATCAGGTGGTGTCTGAATATGCTTTCTGGCTCAGTCCAGGGCCTGATACAGGAATCATTGTGTGGGATTCTCTGGCCAGGAACACGCATGCATCCTTTGTGTCTCTCTGTGTGATATTTGAATTTACCCTAGATATAGGCAATTGAGGGCTAAAGACTTCTAGACAGACAAGTCTGAATTCCAGAAACGTTCATTTCAATCTCTCTGCAATACTATGTTTCAGGGAAACACTTTGCTTTTCTCTCCCAGGTCCAGCATCAGCAGCCTGTGAGCTGACCCAAGCAGTCCCAGTAGGTGTGCAGAGATGCCCAATGCTGCTGCGCACCTGCCCTTTTACTACGGCAGCATTGCCAGGTCAGAAGCTGAGGAGTACCTCAAGCTGGCGGGCATGTCGGATGGCCTGTTCCTGCTGCGGCAATGCCTGCGCAATCTGGGGGGATATGTCCTCTCCATGGTCTGCAACCTGCAGTTTTATCACTACTCCATTGAGCGCCAGATGAATGGTACCTACGCCATTGCGGGGGGCAAGGCACACTGTGGGCCGGAGGAGCTCTGCGAATTCTACTCAAAGGATGCTGATGGGCTTTGCTGCACCCTCCGCAAGCCTTGCAATCGCCCCAGTGGCGTGGAGCCCCAGCCCGGTGTCTTCGACAGCATGAGGGACAATATGGTGCGCGAATATGTCCGGCAGACATGGAAACTAGAGGTACTGGCCATTGTCAATGCTGGTGTGGGAGTGTGCAAGAAGTACTCCCTGGGGACTTACTGCAGCTTGCCACCCTGATATCCTTCGTCTCTGTTTTCCTCCTCTTACACTACAGCATGGTCTTTTTATTACTAGAGCAAGGTCCTTCTACCCAGAGGCTTCTGGCATTTAGAGGAGTCTTAAATCTCTAATTTTTTTCAGTTTCGTCTTCAGAAACAGGTCTAAACCTCTTCCTAAGCCTTCAGATTCTTTCTCTTAACAATTAGTGCTGTGTCTGCTCTGCAGAGCATTAGAGTTTACAGTAGACTTTGCAAAGGCATTTCCCCCTGTGCCATTTGCTCCTTTGCAGCTCACTGGGCACTCGCTGTTGTTTGACCATTGCTCTCCGCATAAGGCGTCTGTGCCTCCGTGATGTTGTGTTCAAGGTACAAAGAAAACAGACTCAAACTCTTGCTCAGTTTTTCCTCACTGTTTGAAGTTAGTGGAGGTTTTGACTACGAGACAGAGATCCTGGATCAGGCCTGTCATTTAAATTCAAAAATAGCTACAGAAATTCCCACACTTGGTTGTATACTGTAATATATAATGATACAGACAAATTCTGTAAGTGGTCACACTGGCAGCCACATAATTAATTTCCTTTTACCTACTGTTACCTCAACAGCAGCTACTCAGTCACCTCCATGTCCCTTTCTGAAAGATGGCTCATGCAGGCTCCTTATGATCCATACCCTCTTTGGGAAAGATCTCTAAATTTGGCCTATTTTAGAGCAAAGGTGCTTGACAAGATGAGGTCTTCTATAGGTTGTCTCCATGGAAGCAGATTTGTGAACGCTGGTAGATAATGTAAAGGACATTGCCATCTACTGGCAAATGAAAAAATGCAACTGTTTATAAAGCGTGTGGGGCTAGTAAAAATAATTTTGGGTATCCCATGTGATTTCCAGATTGCACTGCTCTTGACAGGTTCTAGTGTATGAGGACAGAGAGCAGCCAGGAAGGCAGAGGCACCAGAACAGGGTCCTCCTCTCCCACCAATACAAGGTTGAAAGACACCCTTTGATCATGGTGTCAAGATCCCCTGCATGAACATGATGACTTTTCTCTTCTCTCACCAGCAAGTCAATGGTCTGCAGATGCATTCAAGGGATGAGACCAATCTAGATAAGTGAGTAGTTCTGCTTTTCAGCAGAATAGAGTTCAAGTCACTATTGCTATAGACAAGTCATAAAGTCATAGGCAGTTCAATTCTGAGATCTCCTAAGTTTCCTGTGCCATCTGTCAAAGAGGGTGCAAAATAAATCATATTGAAGCCAGTCAACAACTGCAGATGGTCTCATTTCTCACTCTCTTCCAGGGGGATGCACTCGAACAGGCCATCATAAGTCAGGCTCCACAGGTGGAGAAACTCATTGCCACCACTGCGCATGAGAGGATGCCCTGGTATCATGGTAACATTGCCCGGGACGAAGCTGAACGGAGGCTTTACTCCGGAGCGCAACCTGATGGGAAATTCCTGTGAGTATGCAAAACCCTAGGAGATGCCATGATCTCTGTACTCGCTACCATTTCCTCACCTCCACTTCCCTCTAATTTTGTTACATGTGACAGTTCTTGAGAAGAGCTTAGCTGGATATTGTCAGACTATGGTTACAGATCTTTCAAAGAGAGGATCTGACACCCCAAACATATTATCACCCAAACAGTGTCTGGTCTCCATGAAGCGCCTAGAGCCTATCTTAAGCTTTTTGTGTTTCTCATGTTTAGACATTTGTATTAACTATGCTTGTTATTGCACAGGTTGATGTGAGATACAGAGTTCAGTGGAAGGAGATATTTCACATTGAAAAGGGGACACTGTATGGCCAGCCCAATACAGGAGAAAGCTTTTGCTCTGCTAGAATAGGGACTCTATGCATGCATCTTTGAAGAGGTGAGACAGCCCTGAATTTAATTATCTCCTGAATGAGTTAGAAAAAGAAAAAATTAGCTGGAGGGGACGGAAGAGAGGGGCAAGAGTATGTAGGTGAATGGTGTACACCCTCAATCTAGGCAGAAGAGTGTCAGGAAGGTGGCAATTCTAACAGTGAGGTCCAGGGACACCTTAGCAAGTACTCACCCAGCGACTTGCCACTCTGCAGCCACAGTAACTTGGAGACAAAATCTAGAATTGCTCTTAATAGTTCTCCTTCCTACCAGGCTGAGAGAAAGGAAGGAAAACGGCACCTATGCTCTCTCCCTTGTCTATGGCAAAACCGTGTATCACTATCGCATAGACCAGGACAAGTCCGGCAAGTACTCCATCCCTGAAGGAACCAAGTTCGACACGCTCTGGCAGGTAACGTACTCGGGGATGGTGACCCCACTGGTGTCCTAATAAGGCGAAGGCACTTTTCCTTTGATATAGCCGCCCATGCCTTGGGGGATGGGAAAGGCTATCTGGAGCCTTTAAGACCAGACTTTAAGACCATACATGTACAGTTTAGCTCCTTCCAGAAAGCCTTTATATCCCCTGGATCTGGCTATCAGCTCACCTCATTGCGTGCATTTCTGTGCAACAACATGTGCTCCTAGCTATGTAGATGTAAAGTCTAGAATATCACAGCTGCTCTGAAATAGTGCTGGCCTTACCACTGTCTTCATGCCTAACACTAGCCTGCTGTCTTTCCAAGGAAACAAGAGGATCATTGCTCTCCATTCTTAGCTTTAAGCCAGGATACTTGAGATGGTCATATTAATTACACCTGTACCCCATCAGCAAATATCACACATGCAGCCGCAGCACAGTCCCTTATAGCCATGGACTTCTGCCCGCAGCTAGTCCCGATGAAACTGCTTATCCCAATCTGTCCCTCCTGTGCATCTCCTACACTGCTCCTGGACCTGAAAAACTATTGTCTGTGGATTGCAACTTCATTTTTCAAGTGACTGACTTCTGTGCATCGACTAGGGGAGGCCAAGTCTTGAGCCAACTGCCAAAGTCATTATCAAGACTGAAGATCCAAGTGCCACAAGACGCATCCTATCACCCCAGACAGTCAGGGGCTTCAGGAGAATGTTCACAGGCAGAAGATGGTTGTAATTTCCCAGCAATCCCACCACCTCAGGAAGTGATGAGGCAGAGTTTTCAGGGAATGCAATTTGGCAGTGTCAGCCTCAGCAACCCCAGCTGGCTCCCACAGCCAAGGGTTCAAAGCTTTCGTACAAGCAGAGCCCTACAGCCAGCACACACGGCCCAGCAGCTCCTGGAACGGCTTACGAATCACGTGCCCCTCCGGACCTGCTCTCTGCAGCCTGGGTCTCCCCTGTGGCATGCACCATGGTCATTTCTCTCTCAGAGCTGCTACAGAGAACATGCACCAGTGTGTCCTCCTGGGCAGGCTGTCTGGAGGGCGATAACTGTGTTTTGCTGAATTTTGCAAACTCCCAGGACTGTTTTCACTCTGAATTTGAATGAAAACAAAGACTTTGGGGCATTTTTTGGAAAATGGAACAGTGCCAGGTATCCAATTCAGATGAAATGCAAGAGCACATGGGAGGGGAAAAGAAAGACTCTGCGGTCTGGTGCCTAGGGGCTGGTGTGGTTGTCTCCAGCCAGAGTCAAGCCCCTGCTGTGCTTGAATCAGAGGGAGCTGCAATGAAAAATTGCCCTGCATCCACAGGGCTAGCCCTGGGATTCCTCCAGGAAAGTAAAAGACTTCTCTCTCAGGTTTTACGGAACACAACATGTCTTTAAAACCTTTCTGGATGCGAAAACAATGAAATTACACTGAAAATACCCTAACTAGCTCTACTATTGGGGATTTTCCTTTTGTCCTTCTTCGTTTTTTTATTTAACATTCCAAGTTCTTCCCAGCTCTGGCAGATACTGAGGTATGTAAACACTTGTTCTGGGAGAGCTCTGTGTGAACAGATAGGAGAGGAGAGAAGGGAATATTTGAAGTCCTGACTGCCATAAAGCTAAGAGAAATTATTACCATAAGCCGCAAATGCTGCTTGCAAAAAAGGGATGATTTTCTCCTTTCAGTAATCTCCTTTTCCTATGATTCCTTTCCCAGCTGGTAGAGTACTTAAAACTCAAAGCAGATGGACTGATATTCTACCTGAGGGAAAGCTGCTCCAACCCCAATATGCCAGGTGAGTTGACATTTGTGAGTGATATCCATGGCCTTGGTTTAATGCCTGAATGGGGTCAGTTTGAGCTGCACCAACACAAATGTCCTCCACTATGTCCAGTCTTCTTGCTCAAATCTGACAGTGAAGGATCCACAATCAGCAGGAGTGGTGGGAAAAAAAAGCAGGAATGGTGGGATCTCAGTTCTTCTGACAGCGTCGGCAAATCATCACTTAACGGTGACTGCCGAACATGGCCCCTCTCAAGGCCTGACTTATGGTGGCCAAAAGACAGCAACAGAGCTGAGAATCAATGTTCCAAAGTGATTAGGGACTTCTGGGGCCAAACCCATGGCTTCTAAAAATGACCTCTTTTTTAGACAGCAGGAACCAAAGTATCCCACAAGTCTGGCTCCTGCCTCTTCTCTCAAGCTAAACACCCGAAAATATGGGTCACTCTTATCCTGGCCCAAGTCTCACAGATCTCACTTCAGAGCCTGCCTATGTGCCCCCAAGGGCTCCTGGGCAAGGGGCTTGGGGGTTTCAGTGCTGTTCAGTCAGTCTCTGCTCTGTGACCATCAGAGAATACAGGGCTCTCCAGTATGCCTGCACCTCTCTTGAGGGCTGGTCTGGGAATAATGCCTATATCCACACACATTTCCACACCTTTTATGGCTAAGTGGTGCAAAGGGGCATTTGTGTGGGTGGGAATCAGACCGCATCGTCCACACAGTCTTTCAAGGACTAATGCTCTGATCCTACTTGGGCATAGGCAGACACCTAACAACGTCTCTCTCCTGATTCACAGCTTCTGCAGCACCAGTTCCACCCGCCCACCCCTCTGTGAGCGTAAGTTTTGGGGAGAGTCTGTTTTATTGGTATCTCAGTGGTTTAATGTTATTACATTTCAAGCTTGCTGACCAAATTCTGCCCTTGACTGGAGTATATTAAGGCCAGCTGCAACGTTGTCCCCTTTCCAGCTTGGATGGAGATGAGGAATAGCTGGGCACAGCTACCACGAGAGCTGAAAATGGCTTCCATTCATACTGTGCTCCTTGCAACATGTAGGCCTGTCCTCAGGGAGCCCTCTCCTCCCTGCCCTCCTTGCCAGGCAGAAGCTAGGAAGACTTGGTTGGATTCTGGGAACACTCAGCCTGGCTGCTGGCTGCCGGCCAGGTCTTTGTGCTCCCTCTGTGTCCTTGGCCTCTAGGTATGTCTGCACTCAGTCACCACTCTGAGTGCAAAGCAGTGTTGAAACTAGCTAGTTTGGACTCAACAAGCAGCCCATCCCAGGGCTCAGCAGAGGCTAAATAAAGGCCTGAGCATTTACCCATCTTTTCAGAGAGCTTTCACAATCTGTGATGGGCTCCCATATTGTGGTGACTCTGCTGCAAGCAGCGCTGAAGTTCAACGCTGTGCTGGATAAATCTGTACCATACTGCAGTCACAGCTTTGTGACTGAGTGTCTGCTTTAGGCTCCCTGACAGCGGACACAGTGTCTGCATTTGCTCATGGAGGCCGCTCTTAACTGTGGATGGGCAGGCAGATGTGCCAACTGCAAGCTGAGTTGTCCACTGGCTTCCCTTTGCTCACGATCTCAAAATGAGTGGCAGAAACTTGGCCCAGGATGACCCCAGCTGCTGCAGGAGAATTTAGGATGGGGGGAGCAGAGGGGAAACAGAGCAAACGCAGTCAAGGGTGCATGCCCTCAATGCTTGGCTAAATACAGACGACTCACCACCTCACGCTGCACTGTCCATAGACCAGGTTACAGAAGGCCAATGCTGCACTCAGGATCCGCAGCACTGAATCCCTCCCAGGTCAGATCCTTGCTGTGGAACTGCAGTGAGGGTACAGGCCAACCAAGCCTAGAAGGGGAAAATTACCTTAATACCACCCTGATGCCTTGTGCCCACTTCAGGGTCCTCAAAGACAATTAGAAAAAGTCACCTGCAGGGATCTGTTTGGCTGCAGAGGATCCCAGTCCCCTTCCTCCCCCATTCCAAACTGAAATAGTCATTTCCCTTGTATTGCATTGGTTGCACTATACACTTTATTCCCACTTCTTTTCCAGAGACAGCTTGGGATTCTCAATGCAGATGGATATACACCAGAGCCTATAGGTGAGTATCTCTACAAACCTTCTAATGGTACAGGTTAGGGGTGGGCACCATCAGCCAAGCAGTAAGATAGGACATGGGGATGCTGCAGAAGCCATGGGGGCTAGCTTACATATCCATATCACCTTCTAGCCAAGGAGCTATGCTACAAAGCTTTTTTCTTACAAAAGCACCCAAGAGCATCCCATTTGTTTCACAAGATGTTGAGCCAAGAATATTGCTAGACTTTTTGAAGGCACCCAGCACCCAGTAAATCAAGCCCTGTCCCATTTCCCACCTTCCATCCTGCCTACAAACCCAATTAAGTACACAGTGTGCTCAATTACATTTCAGTGGAGTGAAGTCATGCACGTGCCTAGCTCCTGCAGGGTCAGGACATGTGGAGTGGGAGTGCTCAAACACTCTCTCCATCCTGGATCCCCCAGCAGCTGTAAACAGGAGAGGCCACAGGCTGCAAAAGGAAGGGAGATGCCCAGGAAGGAGGCTTGAATGCTGGAGCATGAAATAGAATTGGTCAAGAGACTAGCAAAGACTTTCCCCATCAGTGAGGGGGAGAGGCGCAGGGAAAGGGTACATCACTTACAGCTATAAATAACTATATCTTTTGGGAAGGCGTAGGAAAGTCATGCCTGCTACCAATGGACACCAGGGTTTATGAGAGCCCTTACAGTGACCCTGAGGAACTGAAGGATAAGAAACTCTTCCTGAAGAGGGACCACCTGATGATCGACGAAGTGGAACTGGGGGCAGGAAACTTTGGCTGCGTCAAGAAAGGCGTTTACAAAATGAGAAAGTGAGTGCTGCCCTGAAGGACGCAGAGGAAGAGGGTCCTTCAGGCTGAACATAGAGGTGTCGCCAGCCATCCTGTTTCTAGCTAGACAGACCCTAGAGTGATAATGGGGCAGAGGCATAAAAGAGACCTTGGAAAGTCAACAGTGGCTTTCCACTGACTTTCAGTGACAACCTCAGTGCACTGGGGGTGTAATCTGCACTGCGTATTTCATGGCATCAGACTGCCATTTTTGGAGGCATTTGCTGGGCTCAGAAGAGCAAGTCCATGCTTCTGAGGTCATCTTGATCCATGTCAGGCAAAGGAGAGAGACTGAGATGTGTGATCCTTGGCTCTATCACTAGCTTTCCATGAGATCACAAGGATGGCCTTTCTCCACGTTGTGCCTCAGTTTCCCCCTTGTAAAATGGCAAGGATGATGCAGAGCTTAGTATGAGACATATCTTGAGACCTAGAGATGGCAAAGACTAGCCTACACCAATAAGGGTGAGGAGATATGATTTCCTTATTTTGCTGGGCATTCCTTCTTCTCTTTAGTCTTCTGGTAGGTCTGGGATAACTGGGAGGTGTAGGGCTCCACCAGCACAAACTACTGAGATTGCAGCTGAGAGATAAAACAGTATCAAAGAGAGGCAATTTCCATTCCTAGCTGTGATACATGAGTCAAGCTGCTGCTTAATTCATCCCATGTGTGTTCCTCTTGCCCCCTGTGCAGGAAGCAGATTGATGTGGCCATCAAGGTGCTGAAGAGCAACAACGAGAAAACAGTGAAGGATGAAATGATGAAGGAAGCCCAGATCATGCATCAGCTGGACAACCCCTATATTGTCCGCATGATTGGGGTCTGTGAGGCAGAGTCCCTGATGCTCGTGATGGAGATGGCTTCTGGAGGCCCACTCAACAAGTTCTTGGCTTCCAAGAAGTAAGTACTGAAAAAAATGTGGCTGGCTGATTCTCTGTACTTCTCATCATACTCACTGCTATCAAGGGAGCCTGGCTTTGTAGGTGGGGGGAACCTAATAACAGCAAAGGGGGATTTGTTTTCATGTGAGGTAATAGGGACCATTGCTTCTGCAGCAGAGACGTCCATGCTCATTTTCTCTTGCAGTGAGAAAGCTCAGAGCGGACTGAGGTGTGTAGAGTAATGACAGGTCCTTGCTGTCCAAATAGTTTTATTACTGCATTGTCCTTCTCTCTTCCCCAGAGATGAGATTGCAGTCAGCAATGTTGTGGAGCTGATGCATCAAGTATCCATGGGCATGAAGTATTTGGAGGAAAAAAACTTTGTCCACAGGGACCTGGCAGCTAGAAATGTCCTGCTGGTCAACCAACATTATGCCAAAATCAGTGATTTCGGACTCTCCAAGGCTCTTGGTGCTGATGACAGCTATTACAAGGTAAGAGTAAGCACAGCAAAAGATCCAAGAGAGGGAGGCCTCCTGGTTTGGGGCTGAGATCCCCGGGGATAGGGGGTCTAGGCTATTCCCGGGAGCCCCGCTGCATGACTGCATCACACACGGCCTGTCCTCGCTGTTCTGACACTAAAAGGGGCTTTGCAAAGCTCCAGCAGAACAAGGAGGCAAGGAGGAAATTAAAATAGCCACCGAGGCAGTGAGCGGGGTGCAATGCACTGTAATGAAATGAGAGAGGAGGCCAGAGAGGAGTGACAGCCGAGAGCTGAGACGAAAAGGCAATTCTGAGTGAGTCAGGGCTGATCCTTCTGGTAGAATGCACACTATGTGGGACCAGGCTGCTTCCCGGGGGAAATCTGGCTGCTGGAGGAGAGGTGTGCGTACCACAGGAGGGCACCCTTCACCCAGGGATGGCCAAGCTGGAGCTGCCAAGACAGCAGGCTCTGGGCTCTGGGCAGGGTGTTTTCCTGCTGTGGGTCCTGCTGGCAGAGCTCCAGTCAGCTCTGCTCCCAGAAGAGCTCCTGTTCTGTGTGCTCAGCTTTAACGCATGCAGGCCTATTTCTAACTTCAGTGGGCTGAAGCTGCAATGCCCAGGAGCTGGGAATGCCTCAAAGCAGCGGTGTGGGAGGCACGTTGGTGCTGCGGTGGCTCTGCCAGCTGCTCGGCTGGCCCTGAGCTGCGCACTGAGGGCAGGAGGGGCTCCAGCTAAATACAGCCATGCACTTATAGGGGAAGGCTGCCATTTGGATCAAGTTCTGAAGCCAAGAGCCACTAATTGTGTTCCAGGGTCCCAAAAGCATTCATTGGCAGTTGGAGAAAAGGGTGCTTCAACTGGGACAGGCACAGAAATTCATTTAGGGTACTTCTGTTCTCATCCATTCCAACAGACACGAAGATCCCCTTCTCTCTGACACCAGGGAGGATTTTATCCCCTCGCTGTATTCACCTGGAAATCCAGTTCCTTACATCGAGTTACAGGCAATGCCCTTACCTAGTATCTCAGCTTTGAAATTGTGACATATTTAATGCCCTATTTGGATTCAGGGCCAGATTCAAACAGTTCAGATCTGGTGTTCAATCCTTTAGAAGAAATACAACAGCTCAGGTTGGACTGAGATCCAGACCCTGTCTGATACGCAAGTTATTTCATAATGAGGCTCTGGTTATTAGTCCTTCGAATTGTTTTTTGCCTGTTATTCTCACTCAGTACTGAGTGATCTCATTTGATTCAAGCATTTAGCAAAGCAGATTTTAACAGAGCACATTGTTAAGTCACCATCTGTCTCAGGGTAAAAACATTCTTCCTTGCTTTGCTACAGGCTAGGACAGCAGGAAAGTGGCCCTTGAAATGGTATGCCCCGGAGTGCATCCTCTATCACAAGTTCTCAAGCAAGAGTGATGTATGGAGTTATGGTGTGACCATGTGGGAGGCCTTCAGTTATGGGCAGAAACCGTACAAGGTGAGGCACAACTGGATGACAGTCCACTGATCTAACCTGTGCAACAGCCTTCTGCAAGTTAATCACCCTGCCCTACTTTGTGCCTGTCTCTTACGTACTGGGAAAACACAGCCCATGGCCCCATAGTGCCTCAACATGTGCCAGTCTAGTGGAGTCACTGGCAGACGGAGCAATACAACCAGCACCTGGGCCATGAACCCTAGGAAGTATGTTTACTCAGAGCAAAAACAAGGTGGCCAGCAACTAGCAAAACAGACTGGGCTGGGGAGTAGCTTGTTTGCTGAAAAGTGCGTATATCATCTTTCTGATACAGTTAGTGAATTCAGGCCAAATTTCTGGCATAGTCTGAGGAAAAAACATGCTTGTAGATCCATAAGAGCAGCAAGGTGAACCAAAGACTACCTCTGCCCAGCAGCTGGTTGCTCGTGACAGTTACCCGATCTCCCTGCATCTGAAGCAATTCAATTGCCCCTGCCCAGCACAGTCACAGCCACCCAGCCTAGCAGATATTTGGGAAATGCCCATATGGGCATTTAGTGGCCGGCAGTTTTGGAGCCATCCCCATGTTCACTGCCTGAGTGGATCTGTCATAGTTTGTGTGGAGAGGAAGAGCAGTGGAGCAGAGCAAGGAAAACCAGTTTCACTTTGGCTCCTGGCTCAGGAGTTAGAGAAATCCACCCAGATGGATGCTTCATTCCAGACTCCCACTCTCAAATGGGCTGATGTGCATTGAAACTGCAATTTCTTGCTCCTTGAGTGGGTCCTCTGACCATTATTGGATAGAGGAGAAAGGAGACAGGCTTACTTCTATATTATGAAAGGAGCTAATTAGACTGCTTGAAACCTGTGGCTTTGTATTCATTTCAGGGACAAGAAACAGAAAAAAAAATAATTTGGGTATGAATCAAAGCAAATCTTCTCTTTGATCCTTCCACTTGCTGAGCTGAAAAATTTGTCACTCAGCCACTGCTCTGCTCAGCTTGGGAGAGGAGTGGTCGGCCGAACTGACCACAACATGAGACACTGCTGCTGGGTGCCTGGGTTAAAAACACAGCGTGCCTGTGTGGGGTGTGCTGCGCACAGCCTCAAAGCACTACCCCATGCACAGCTCAATGCCTGTTAGAAGGCTGGTCTAATCTGCCTCCTCAGACCCTCTTGCCACTCCAATGCACATTAAAATGTTTTCTCCCTTGATCCTCCCCTAGAAAATCAAAGGCCCTGAGGTCATCAGTTTCATAGAGCAAGGCAAGCGCATGGACTGCCCTGTGGACTGCCCAGCAGAGATGTACGCCCTCATGCAGCAGTGCTGGACCTACAGGTAAGGCTCATCTCTCTGCCGAGTGGCAGGTCCATTCAGACAGCACCCACTGGATGGTTGCATTATAAAGCTAATGGTATCCCCTGCCCTGGTCTCATTCACCAGTCCACTTATTTCTTCAATATCATTCCCCTCCTTTTGCCTGCAGCAACCCTGAAAGACGTCAAAGCCTCTCTGCCTCTGCCCTCTCCATCCTAGAAAAAGTCTCAGCTCCTCATCTGAGCCCTGATACAACTGGGCTTCTGTTCTGTCCTGGGCTCATCTGTGCTCGGTATCTTCTCCCTTGGGTCCCTGCCCACTCTTGTCCTTTCGCTGTCTCTATTTGTTCCTTTTTTCCCTTGCAGATGGGAAGAACGTCCAGGGTTTATTTCTGTGGAAAACACAATCCGCTCCTACTACTACAGTATTGCTACCAAGACAGAAAATGGGTCAGAGACCGAGGACAAGTCAAAAGCAGCTCTTCACTGAGCTTTCTTCTCTGCTCCTCAGCACGTATCCCGCTGGACTTCTTGAATGGGACCTCTTTGCAAATTTCTGCTTTAATCTCGTTTGCTGGTTTCGTTTCTCAAGTAGTCCCAGAAATAAGAAGTTGGGAGAAAATGATGCTGCCACAGCAGACAAGAGAACTCCATAACAGAACAACCATAACTTGTGTCTCCACATACAAAGAGCTAGCAATGATTTACATCCCCAGCCTGACCCCCACGTGGGACAGTGCAGAACAGCATTCTTACCCACCTCCAAAATCTCATCCCAGGACCTCAGTGCTTAATGCCTACCAGGCTTACTAAGGATGAACTATGTTGGCTCCAGCAGACCTGGATTTCTCCAGATCCCTTAAAAAACAATTATTTCCCAGGAAACCATCAACTACACATTTTGGGTGAGGTTTGCATGTGGTGGAACACAGGAGAGGGAGCCACTGCATCCCCTTCCCCTCCACTCTAGGGCAGGAAGGAGCTGGTGTGTTGCTCACTGCCGGCAGAGACGGGGAGGAATGCTGGGGCAGAGCTGCAGTGTGCACTGTTTTGTCCTTCTCCAACCCTGCCAACTGCAGCATTTCCACCCCTGGGCACTGCATGTGCGCCTGTGTAGCATGGCGCATGGTATACATCACTCCTGCACTGCCGCTGCCCTCCAGGCTGGTTATGGCTCCTGAAGCAACAAAATCCCCAGGCCAGGAACCATTCATTGCTCACCTCCTGGATTCCTACTGGCCCTTCTGTGCTACTCAAATGAGCATTTTGCTTTTGAAGCCTGAAAATCAACCACCCTATAAATAAACTAGTCTATTTTTTTTTAAGCATACATATGGCTTAGACTACTGAACTACCACAGATGTTTACAACTGCTTTAAGCTGAACAGAAACTAGTGGTAGTTTCCCCACACTAAGCCAGGATTTCCCTCCTTGATGGTCTCCGCACCCCTTTGGAGTCACCAACCAGGTCACTGACCTCCCTCCAGAAATGGAGCTCTCTTGCAGCTAATGGCATATACTGTTGCCTAGGATTGGGGTAAAGTTCAACTGAGTCCACTTTGGAAACCTAACTATCGAGGCTTTTACTGCCAGGAGCAGCCCCAATGTTTTGGGGTACCCACCTTAAGGACCCTTCAAAGGACTTCAAGTTCTGAAGGGGTGGCCATCAGCATGCTGCAAAAATGAGGCCCTTTTGAGGACGCTTTAGGGAGTAATGGGGCAGTTAATCCTTGGAGCCTTGCATGGAAGCAATGAAAACAGCAAAAAAGAAATGCTTCCCTTTTCTTTTAATTCTAGCACTGTATGCAGCAAAATTGACACTTCCTGCCTCCTCACCCCAACTGGGGTGACTAGTCCAGCAGGGTGAAGAAACGCTGTATAACCACAGTCCCTTTTCCAGGACACTGTAGGTATGCACTGAACTCTGCAAGTAACCTTGCTGGTACCGTGGTGGCATCCCCCCTTAAGGAGTGGACAGCATGGTAGCGTGGGGACACAGGCAGAGAGTCAGAGCAAGTGCTGCCAGTGTCCAAGGCTCATATTATGGCACCCAGGGATGTTTCACTATTGCTGTCACTATTTAATGGGACCATTTGATCTGTGCCCTACTTACCTCATCACTGGAGGAGGACCACGATACTGATTCCCCACTGGAACCCCACACAGTGTGTGCTCTGCAGGTTTTGTCCCATCCACATGTCCAAAGGTTTTTGAGCACCTCGGATGAACAACATATACAGAGCAGAAGATTTATGGTGGTCATTGTCCTTCCTGAGTTGCTCGTAAAACTGCAGAACAAGCCCCTCTCTTGGGACACAAACGCAGTCAGAGACACAGTAATTTCTGGATGGACAATAAGAGCAAAGCTGCCCTCTAAACTTCCTTCCACCTTCTCCTGGAAGAGACTCAGAAACTACAGGCCCTCCCTTGCCCCTGGGTGCAGTGGACTACCCATGGGGTGGGGGGACAACTGTGGTCTGCACTGTTACAGAAAGTGGGTGTGAAAGCTGGGGAAGTAGAGGAAGCAAAAGATCAGAGTCCTGAGATACAATGAAAAGGGAAACTTACCTCTCACCATCTTCTGGCATCTGAAAGCCACACAGTAGCTCACATAGTGTACCTTGTCCTGGAGGTAAAATAAACAGCTACAGACCAAGCCACCACGGCACAGCCCTTATCTAAAACCTTCATGGGAGATGGGTTTGATCTGAAGGTAACAGTTCCTGGAGGATATTCAGATATGGGGCCTGAATTACCCTCTGGGGTACACAAACAAGTACCCTGTTTAAGCAATCAGAGAACCTAGGTCCAATGGAAAACACAAGTAAGCGTTCCCTTCCTTGCTTAGACTACAGTCTCCAGAGACAGCAAGTATTTACACACCATGCAATTTCTCTCTCAAGCCCATCAGCCCCTCCAGTATGCTTGAGAACTATGGACATATTACCCCTACCAATAGATACGAAAATAGATGCATCAAAGGAGAAAGTGGCTTGTTCATGTTTGTGCAGTGAGTTAGCAGCAGAAAAAGGAAAAAAATTATTGCCATGTCATGTTTTCCTCCTGGAGAAAGCAGCTTTTTTTTGCTGGAAAATAGGTGATTCTATGCACTTTTTGTTTAATAAGCACAGCCAAAACATTTTGTTTTGACTTTTTTTCTAAACAAACCCATTTTCTGGTGTGAAATGATTTTTCGTATTAAATTTTCAGCTAACTGGTTGGTAGCATTTTTTCAAGTGCGGAAGGGGACATAAGGAATGCCTCAGAGAACCTGTGTCCACTGAGGAGCTTCTGATTTAGTTGCTGGAAACAATTACAAGTGAGCATGTGTGCACACAGTCAATGAGGTGATGGCCAGGAGGTAAGTCCCTCGAGATCTCACCAGAAGAGTGGAGAGCAGAGGCTGCTCCTCCGGAAAGTCATCTGGGCTGTGGATGTTTTTCTGGCTGTCCCAAGAGCATCACAAAATGTCAGGACTTGCTGGGGGGGCGGGGGGGAAAGGGAGTGAGATAAACAGGACCTGAAGTTGAAGGACTTTATGACTCATGTGTTTATGCCAGGATGTCTTTGGCATGCAAAGGGGCTGACAGTCATCCCCAAGGGGAATCTCCTTTGACTTCAGGCACTGAGTCCCTCCTGGGCATCCCCAACCTGCACTCATAATGGGTTAGAAGGGGCTCAGCCAACCCAGTAAGACAGATTTCCGGGTCCCACAGTCCGGGCCAGCCTCTCTTCTTCCCCACCCACAACATGGGTATATCTGGCTCTGTCTTCCCTCCTCACTCCCTGCCAGCAGGTCCAGATACTGAAACACTCTTCTGTACATCTCAGTCTTTTTGTTGACTGATGCCAGAATTGCTGGGTGTTTGGACAAGAGCTGAGTCACTGATAAGATAAAGGCACAAGTTGTAGTTAGCACGGACTCAGAATTCAGTGATATGTGGCTGATTCTGCCCTCCTGTAAACTCTCTCACATTCTCTTTTTTTGGCTGACGTTTTCCCTCCCTCCTTCCCTCCCCTCTTTCCCCTTTTTCTGCCGGAATCTTTACAGCTCCTATGATTCTTGCATTCTTCATCCAGTGCAAGGGAAAGGATGAATTACATCTTGTAACTAAGTAGCCACAGCAGTACCGTGAGACATGATAAAGTATCAGTAATCATGTCTGATCAACGCTATGTAACACTCTACCATATCACCAATGCAGATACATCACATTCCGATCTATCTTATCACCAGTAAGCCTATCTTACCACCAGTACATGCAATTGCGCTGTCATATCTCAAGCACATACTCACCTTTCTATCTCTTCCAGCTATCTAGGCATTTTCACTTTGCTCAGCAGCACGTTAACGACCTGACTAATCCAGCTCTGTGCTCATTGACTTTTGTATCATATCTGCAAGTAATATACCGAACAAACACAAAAGTATATTTTCAATACTAGCTCTGGTTATTTTCCCCCTCAAGAAGTGCCGTCCCTGCCCCAGCAGTGCGCCATCTCCCACACGACGAGGAATGAGGTTCCCCAGGGCAAAGCTCAATGCTGCCGTGGGACTCCCTGCTTTGCAGCTGGGCTGTCCTCTGGCCCATCAGCCTGCCCAGCAGTTAAACTGTTCTCTTTGGGCTGCTTTCTGGGCCTTCCATGGCCTGCACAAAGCAGCCTTATGTATTTTTATGCAGCATAAAAGGCAGAACCAGGAGCACTGAGCAGGAGAGGAGAGGGAACCAGCCCTAGGGAAGAGCATTGGAAAGCTCTACAGGCAGCTGTCCCTGTGCAGCCCTTGATGAGGATGTGACCATGATAGAGATCAGCTGTTACAGCATTCAGACCTGCTCCTGTGCCCGAGTCGCTCAGAAGCAGCAGTGACGGTCTAGGGAAACAGCATTTTTTGTATTTTCAAGATCCTGCTGAATGGTTCCAGCTGTTGACAACTTGGAGACACTGCAAGGGTAGGGCACAGGCTTATTTTGTACAGACCCCCTGTTCAGAACCCTTTTTGTTAGGACATGTCTGGCAACTGTGAAGTTACAGAATCACTTTGGCCCTGCCCTAACAAAACCCATCTCAAAGTCAGATTTCTTCATAAAAAACAGGTGAAATACTGATCCCCACATCGCCCCTTTCTTTCATTCCCTGACATGAGATCAAGATGGGGTTTTTTTCTGATTACAGCAGAGGGAAGTAAGACAAGGGAAAGGATATGACTCATCAGTGTTTAAACAGAGGCCTGGAGGAAAAGCCTTCTCCACCTTTGTCTGTTGTCACACTTTGATCTCTAGATGATGTCTTCTCTGAAGGTTCAAAGGACTTTAATGGTTCAGAGAAGCTGAACAAGCCAAATGATGCCGCAGCCTCCAGCACAAAGAATGCCATATGCTCACTCTGCAATGGCCCAGAAGTAGCTAAATCTCATTGTAGTGGCTTTTACCAGTTGCCTGCGAAGAAAAAAAGGGTATGCAAGGCACAGAAAGATGCAAATCTAAATGCTTTTCAGTGGCAAGAGGAATGCAACTGATCGGGCTGCCTGTCTATTTTAGGTACTAACAATGAGTATCTAAGTCTTAAGGAAAATAATCTCTCTTCTTGCAACAGCAAGAAATTACTTATTTTGCCACCAAGAAATCTGCTAGGGCAGGTGAGACTTGAAGTAAGCCAAAAGGGCTTCTCTGTCTTTTTTTCTCTATTTTTTAACTATTACCTTGGTTTTGCCCCTCAGATAGAGGCCAGGTGCTGGCAGAGCATGTATCACAAGTCATTTTTTTCATCAGTAACAGGAACCTTGGAGAGCAAGGGAGGTGCTGCTACTGGCTGAAAGGCCATTGCTGAATGGTAAGAAATTTAGCACTGATCATCTCTTCTAACTTCATGTGATCCCATCTGAGGGTGCGTATGGTGTGAATCCCCATAGGCACAGAATTTGGACACCAGTTCTGCTTTCACGTTAGCTTCTGAGTCTCTTTGTTCATCTTAGCATTTGAAGGTAAGTTATGTCTTGTCCTGGTCATTCATTACCTGGCAAACTCAAACAACAGCAAGAGCCCATTCAGCTTATTGGACTGAGTAAGGAAGAGGCTAGCGGAGTGACGTAATGGAGATTGCAAAGGGGGCAAAGAGCTCAGCTAGGACTTGGAGCCCAGTACTACTTACAGGCTGCATGAAAGCCGTATTGAAATCTGTCAAAGCATTTTATTCGTACAGCAGTTAATAGCCACTGATTGAAAAAGCACATTATAACAGTAACTAAAATTCCCTAAAAGATGTAACTGAGGAAGATCAAGAAGTGGCTGGCCCAAACTGACAGC